CTCCCCACTCTCCCCCTATCCCACCCTTTTTCTGCTCCCCAGGGAGGGTGAGGCCTTCCATGGAGGATCTTCAAAGTCTGTCACATTTGGAGCAGGGCCTAGGCCCTCCCTCATGTGTCTAGGCTGAGGGAGTATCCCTCTACGTGGAATGGGCTCCTAAAGTCGATTCTTATACTAGGGATAAATACTGACCCACTACCAGAGGCCCCGTAGACTGCCCAGTCCTCTTGACACCCACATTCAGGGGGTCTGAGTTGGTCTTATGCTGGTTTCCCAGCTATCAGACTGGGGTCCATGAGCTCCCCCTTGTACAGGTCAGCTGTTTCTGTGGGTTTCTCCAGCCTAGTCTTGACCATTTTGCTGTCTGAAACCTGATTCCAGGAATTTGTCTCAGTGTTCAGCTGTGGGTGTCTGTTTCTGCTTCTGTCAGTTACTGGATGAAGGAAGGCTCTAGGATGGTACATGAGGTAGTCATCAATCTCATTATAGGGGAAGGGCATTTAGGGTAGCCTCTCCACGATTGCTTACATTGTTAGTTGGGGTCATCCTTGTAGATATCTGCACATTTCGCTAGTGCCAGGTTTCTCTTTAGACCTATAATGACCCCCTCTATTATGGTATCTCATTTCTTGCTCTGCTGTATTCCTCCCCTGACTCAGTCTCCCTGCCCTCATGCCTTCCTCCCGCTCCTCTTCTCCTGCTCTTTCTCTTAACTCCCTCTCCCCTCCCCCATGCTCCCAATTTGCTTAGGAGATCTTGTCCCTTTCCTCTTCTGTAGGGGACCATGTATGTCTTTCTTAGGGTCCTACTTGTTTCCTAGCTTCTCTGGCGGTGTGGATTGTAGGCTGGTGATCCTTTGCTCTATGTCTAAAATCCATATATGAGTGAGTATGTTCCATGTTCCTCTTTTTGTGACTGGGTTACCTCACTCAGGATGGTTTCTTCTAGTTCCACCCATTTGCCTGCGGATTTCAAGATTCCATTTATTCTTTTTCCTTTGAGTAGTACTCCATTGTGTAAATGTACCACATTCTCTCCATCCATTCTTCAGTTGAGCGGCATCTAGGTTGCTTCCAGGTTCTAGCTATTACAAATAATGCTGCTATGAACATAGTTGAACAGATGTCCTTGTTGTATGAATGTACACCCTTTGAGTATATTCCTAAGAGAGGAATTTCTGAGTCTTGAGATAGAGTGATTCCCATTTTCCTGAGGAACCACCAATCTGATCTCCAAAGTTGCTGTATGAGTTTGCACTCCCACCAGCAGTGGAGTAGTGTTCCCCCTTCTCCACATCCTCTCTAGCATAAGCTGTCATTGGTGTTTTTTATGTTAGGTACTGAATGTATACCTTTATTTTCACCACTTTTGCACATGCTGTGGGAGCTTGCATGTTTTATCTGTACATACTTAATGCATTGATTTAATATATTATTTTCCTAACATACACACTGCTGAGAAAGTGGCCTTATTGCTGGAGTCTTCTTATCTTATTAAATAGCAGACTAGTCCTCATTCAAATGACTTCAGTCTGGCTAGACACCTGCTCCTGGAGGGGAGGTGGAGCTTCCCAGTCTGTGAAGAGCAGGTGGGGCTGGGAGAGGGCAGGTGAGCTTCTCACAGGGACACAGAGCTGTGAGTTCTAGATTACTTCAGCAAGGTGCTATGTTTTGAGCATTCTTGTAAGCTTGGAAAAACATGTCATATAAATTAGATCTTTAACACCAGGGATTCCAGCTGGGCATTGGTGGCACATGCCTTTAATCCCAGCACTCAGGAGGCAGATACAGGCTGATCTCTGTGAGTTCGAGGCCAGCCTGGTCTATAGAGCTAGTTCCAGGACAGGCTCCAAAGCAATACAGAGAAACCCTATCTCAACAAACAAAACAATAACAACAACAGAAAGGCTAGGGATTCCATATTTGGCGAATTTTATTTCTGCACACTTATTTTCAGAAAACTGTCATATGATAGAAAACCAAGAAGAATTAAACACATAGAATCATACAGCTGAATGAATAGTGGTTATGTTGGAGATGGGATAGAAGAGGAGTTGGTTAAAGGTCCAATTTCTGTTAGAATAGATGAAAAATTGATATATATATTTGGGGTAGCGTAGGTATGTTAAATAGCTTAATTCAGTAATCCATTTTATACCCATAAATGTAGATAGTTCTAATTTGTCAATATTAATAAAATATTTTTTTAAATGAAGAAAGTTAGAATCCCTCAGTATCTACCAACACTCACCATGCTGATTCAGCAAAGGTCCATTGGTTGATGAAGCAATTGGATAAATAACACAACCAGCATAACTTGTGCTGGACTGACATCTGGGCCATCACATTGTTGAAACATCCACATTTGTACATTCACCTCGTTATAATTCCTAAAGCCACATCAAGAGGGCATCAGTTAGTGTCCCTTTGCACCTTCGGCTCATGCCATTGTTTATCTTCATTCAAAATTTGTAGCATTATGACAACCCATTGAATAAATTATATTTTAAGGAACAGAGTTTCCATCATTTTAAAGTCTTTTATTCTTGCACCTTCTTTAAAATAATAACATGGCCAAAATCTGTTCATTTGCATATTCTCTCAAACTATATAACTTGATGTTTGCACTTCAGGGGCCCAGTTTTCATCAAACCAGGCAGATTGTTCTCCTCAGTCATCAATAAATGAGATTAAAACCTGCATCTCAAAGATCTTTATTTGACTATCCCTTTGATTTGAATGACATAGTCATCTTCCCTATCAGAGTGGCAGAATGTGCATCCTGCCATTTTCAGAAGACGAGTCTGCCAGGGTTTTCTTCTCCAGAAGGTATAAGTTGGTGGCTACCACATAATGGAATTCTGTACGTGGAGCATCTGTTACACAGATATTAAGTGAATTCACTATTTGTGATATTATTATCCTCTTATATATACATGAGATTGATAGTTTCCATCCTTTCAGTAGGACAGCAGAACCAAATAACTCAGAAGGAACATTGATATCTTTGAAATCTTTCTCATGTATTTACCAAACCCACATGCATGGAGCCCTACTCTCTGAGCTTTATTGGAGTTCTGGTGCGTTTGTTCATGTCCAGGACAATCTTCCCAGTCCTGGAGAGATCAATGCTGAAGCACTTGCTTTCTGCTTAGTGGTAGCCTGCTGTTTTGAGAGCCAATTTCTATTTCCTTACGAACACACACCAAGAAGATGTCTCACTCTAATTTCTCTTATTACTCCTCTCTTTCTAACAGTGTTGCAAAATGTCCTGGCCAGGGCTCTGACACTGAGCTATCTACATGAAAGGCAATTCAAATATATTTTTCAGTAAATGAAAAACAGGTGTTTGCAAAATCCAAGAGATCTCTAGTATAATATATACTTCAAAATGGTGATAATCAATACAGAACACATCTCACGTGAGTGTGTATCAGACATGTACTATGCCATTGAGAAGAATTTACTAGGTTGTTAATTCCTTGGATGTCTCAAGGAATTTGTATCATTGCTTGGTATTTTAATCTGTCTTAATTTTATAATTTGTAATTAACTTATTCCCATGTTTTATTTGCTTTTTTAAAAGTTTAAATATTGTGCAGTTTTTGATTTATAATTTGCAAGTTTATGTTTGATAGTCCCACCTGTAATGAAACACATAGTTATTGTTTGTTTCTTGATATGAGTGACTTTATCTGAAGGGAAGGACAAGTTCAATAGTCTATAAAGAGTCTTTCAGGATGTGCTTTAATGTTGGGACAGAACATTCAGTTTGTATCCATTCCTTCCCATCATGAGGTATTAATGCTAGAGCAAACAAATGGCTCTGAAAAAAAGAGGAGGTAACTATCTGTTCCATATGGGCATTGTTAGTCTTTGGGTTTAGGTGCTCTTTGGTGTGTTTAGTAATGAATAGTTAAGGCTGTGGTTCACAAAGTGCAGTCGCCAGGGACCAGCATTAGCAGCACACATTCTCAGGTCAGGTCCCCTCTCGGACTGTGGTCCTTTGGGCTGCATCAAGCCTATCCATAACTCTGATGCAGGCCAATGCTTGAGGACCACTGCCCCATTCCTTTGTTATCAGTATAGCCTGTGGACCAACAGCAGCACCTGCTGCTGTGTAAGTGCTATATGATGTCACATATGTGTCACATGTGTGTCGACACAAGGTCCGGCCTATGAGCAAGATACCTAGGTGGTCTCCATACATATGAAAGCCCAAGGGTCACTATTTATAATCTTGAACTTTCCAGTAAGAGAGGATCTTTCATTCAGAGGCATTTGGAATGTGTTTAAGTAAATCTCTATGCTCCTTTACTGTTTGTCTAGCCCCTTAGTTACCCCCGAGTTAAAAGGCAGAAGAGATTTATAAACTTCTTCTCTAAACTGTTCAAATTATATAAGGGCACACTGTTCCTACATCATGTGATGGAGAGAACTATAATTTAAACTATAGTTAAAAGAGCTATAATATAAGTGGTAAATCTGTTATAGCCTGTACACATATGTATACATAGACACATATATGTATGTGCATAGTGTGTGTGTGTGTGTGTGTGTGTGTGTGTGTGTGTGTTCTGTGTAGCAATGCTGTAGTATAGAATGATGATCTAGACAGAGACAAAGCCAGGATTTTCAAGTCTCTGAATTTTTGAATTGGCTTTGTAGTTATAAAGCTATACCAGGTGTCTTTTTCTCCTAATTTCTTTTTCTGCTGATGAATTTAATTTTCAGTGTCATAACTATTTTAAGGAAATATTTTTATGAGTGAAGGAAACTGCACAAATTAGAGGCTATTTGCTTTTTATTACAGTAGGGGCTTTTGCCATGCTGTGGTACTAAAGAAGAAATGACACAAAGCTTTTGAGGGTGCAGTGAAGTTCATCTCCTTCCAAGGCTTTTCCTGTTGTATGTTTGTCAGTGATAAACCCTGTTTCCAGTCAAAAGAAGTCATTGATCAAATGAAACCTTATTTGTCAAAAATAATTTTATCATGGAAACATATGAACAGGAAAGGATTAAAACATCCTTTGGAAATCTTTGCCACACCCCCATATGTAAATAGGTCTGTCACTCCTGTGTTTGTCCACAGCTCCAGCTCCAGATGAACCAGGGTAGTGTGTGGTGGCAGGAACAGCTGACTCATTAGTAGAGAGCAGTGAAAGGTAATTAACCCTGGGAAAAGTACAGCTGCCATGCGGGCTGTTCCTTTTTGTAGGATCTGATTAGAAATTAGTGTTAAACCACTGATTCTTTTTTAAAAGACTGTCATTGAGAATTCATTTTCTCTCTCAGGTGTGTCCCTAGAAAAGGTTCTCCAAAGTACTTATGTGTAAAGGTCTCAGATACAAATAATGTTTTCTCTTACTAGTAGACACCTGTTTTCCTTGTTGTAGGATAGTCTTTAAAATAACATTTCTGACTATTGAATGTGGTACTGCCCAGACTTGTATTCTGATACTGTTTACCTATCACTCTAATGCAGTTGTCCTCAACCTTCCTAATGCTGTGACACTTTAACCATAACATTACTTTCTTTGCTACCCATAACTGTAATTTTAATTAATTGTAATATAAAATTATAATAAAAAATTTCTGGAGATAGAGGTTTTCAGGGGAGTCACAACCCATAGGTTGAGAGCCACTGTTCTAAAATAGTGTTTTATGCAGTTAATAAACTGTAGATAATTTATATTTAATTAACTGTTCTCTTTTCTTCTTTCCATGTTTTCTCTGATGATGCTTCAATCGTAGCAATGGCAACTCTCTGGTTCAAATACAGTAGCTTCTAGGGAAGGTAAGTAGTGCCTATTTAAAATTAAAATTCCCTCCAAAATATCTTTCAAATGTCAGTGTCCTTCAAATATACATAAGAACTTAAGAAACTTGATTTTAGAGAATCAATAAAGATGTTGGTATTTGTTAATATCAGTACTAAGATTTGTGGCATCACATATGTGATAATGAGGGGCTCTAGTACTAAAATTTTAAGAATTCACATAGGTGACTAGAGATTGTCTCCCTCCCAAAGATGTATCTGAAGTTGGTGAATGTGTTACCTTGCATAACGAAAGGTATAAGAGTCAGTTAGGGACTGTGAGGTGGGAAGAATTTCCCAGACTATGGAGGAAGAGCCAACTATCTGTGGTTCTTACGAAAAGGACAGTATAAAAAATGAGGGAGCTAAAGCTGGATAATGACTCAATCAGATCACCCTCTCTAGCTCTGAAGAGGAGGGGACTTAGTCAAGGAAAGTGTCAGCACTGACTGCGAGGCAAGAGTGACTTGCAGAGTCATCCAGCAGCTCCATGTTGTCAAGGATATGGAACTGGACTCTATTAAGCAAGCTGAGTGAGAAAATAAATAGTCCCTTATAGTGTAACCTGACTTCGGTTCACACTGATGAGACCATAAGAAGACCCCAGACCTCCACAACTATAAAATAAAAGTAAGTCTGGTTTATTAAAGCTACTGTTTATGAATATTTGTCAAAGAAATAAAAGAGAAATAAAAGAATAAGCCAACCACTAGGTAGGATATATTTTACAGGTAATAATATAAATCCTAGAAAGACTATTCTGTTTCTGAATTAAACAAAATCTTGAAAGGCCAAAATTAATTGTCTAAAATTATTTATTTGGGTATGTAAATTATAATTATTGATACTTAGTGTTTATATCTCCCATTTTGTAACACTCCTCCCTTCCAAAAATGCTACGTATCATGTTTTTGTAAATGCAGTAGTTGTGTTACTGAAAAAGCAAAGGAATGCATGTTTTATTTACTCCTTCAATGAACATGAGTTAACATGAGTTTGGGTCAGAGTAATGGAATATCAGAGGGAACAAAAGCCCAGGTCTCTGCTGCAGAAGTTCAATTTATACACGAAAGCAGAGGTTGCCATTTATTCTACTTGTCACCTGTATGACACAGAAGCTGGTAGTAATCTTGACCGTCCTACCTTTGTGTGTAAATTGGTGGTAATATGGAATTCCTGTAGGCATGTCATGATGATGATAAAGGAACTTTGAGCAGTGCCGTGCCTATGAAACTCGTGTTTCCTGATAAAACTCCAGTAAAGATAAGAGATATTTGCTTAGTAAATTCTATCTCCCTTCACTGTTGATAGACACATTTGTCTTTCCTTCTGGAAATGGTTAGTTCCATTTTCCTTTGCAATATCAAACTCATCAGTTTTGAATATGTAGTATATGCCACTTAAAGTAAAATGTAGGTGGCCCATCCCATGGTCAGGACTTTGTGGTAAATTTTGAATGAGAAAAAGGATACTCTAAAGGAATGAGGTTTTCATAGATCTTAAATGGATCAGCAGTCTTCCTAGTCCAGTCATTTCCCCAGATCTGGCTAACTGTATTTCATTTCATATTTGGCATTTATTTCTCAAGAAAAGCCAATTTAAAATTGTGTAATTTTTCATTTTAATGAAGTAAAAGTCAACATTGGGTAAAAATCAGGCATAGATCAATCACAATTTATACATTGTGTTGGGTAGGGAGACTCAGAACTCTAACCCCAGTATTTGTGAATCTGAGGTCATCTAGAATATCTGGAATGTACAGCAAGACATTATCTCAACAAACAAGCAAACCCTGTCAATTTTATTTTTTTAAGCTGGTAGAACAGAACCCAACTGACTAAACCTGTAATATCCCGTATGCGGAGTGTCTGGGATTTATTTAAATCAGTTAATAAGCTATAATCTCAAAAATCTGAAAATGATTATGTTGGGCTTATTTCAGCTCAACAGTAATGTATTGAGCACATCCATAGCCATAAGGTGGTTTCTAGGGGCACATCTCTCCATCCATGGTCCTACCAGAGCCTAGGTAAAAACAGAAAAACATGAGTTAATGGAGTGCAAGGCAACCTAATTGTCATCAAAATTCTCTTGGAGTACAGGATTCTGGGGAATGGTGTCTACTGTGAGTGGAGGCAGATTTTGCTTTTCTCATCCTGAAGGGGGGTGCTTCTTGGAAAGTTACATATTAAATGAGCAAATTAAAGGCATTTAATTTCAGCTAGTTAATTTAACCATCTGCTGTCTTTGACCCTTTCATAACTGCATAAAAAATGTAGTTTTAATGTATTGACCATGCCAGTTTGACCATTGGCATCCTTTCAATTTGTTTTTTAGACCCCTTTCCTATTTTATTCAGGGTTCTCTAAACATCTACAGAGTCACAGTCATCTAGAAGTTGTCTAGGCCCCACTCATGTCCGCTGGGCTCCTCTGGCCTCTTCTATCTAAGAATGTTCTACATTATATTGGGATCTTTGACTTGCCTGTTTGTTCTGTCGAGGGCAAGAGTTGTGCCTTAAATATTTTTATACCCATTATTTTCCATGGAGCAATATGTATATTTTGTTGCCCAGTAACTGTTTTTTGAACCATTAATAGTATATTTTAGAAGATACTCATTTGAAAATTATATTAGATTCTTGTTTATATATAATTAAAGTCTAAGGATTATTTTTTCCAAAATCCATTCACTCATTGGCCTCAACAACTGAGAGTCATGCCATTTCCTTTTTAAACTTAGTAGATTCTCCCATTCCATTTTCATCATCAGATAATGAAGACAAACAGCTATAGTTTTTATTTTAATTCATATTTAAAGAATATTGTGAAGATGTTAATTAAAACCAAACAGTTATTGTTGAGAAAACTAGCAGCCTGGTTGAAAATATTCTAAAGAACCTCTTGACAGTAGTAAGGAAAGTGGCAAATGTCCAAGGATATCAAAAATATTGTGTGACCATCAATCTAATAAAATGGCCTAAAGAGAGAAAATTCCCTCTGCATAGTGAAAAGCCTTATTTTTTTTAATCAACAAGTGTTCTATGAACTCCATTAAAAGTGTTTTGACATTATAAGGATGTTCAGTATAGATTTACTCAAAATAACACATTTAGTTGTAACAGAAGCTTTGAAGTTAAGTGGTTAGTGTAATAAAACATGGTTTCCATAGTTACCACAGGAGAACAGAGAGTAACTTTTATTTCTTTGGAAGCCAGGAAGGGGCTTTAAAGAAAAGATTATGCAAACAGACCTGGGAGGGTTTATTATTCATGCCTTCACATCTGATTGGGTTTTTTAAATAAAGAAACTCTTGATAATATAAGAAATTAGAGTGTTTCCACTAAAATCTAAGGTGGTACATTAAGAAATATCAGCCTTCCTGTTCTCTGGGCATTGTAAACTCAACAATGAGTCAGAGGAAAGATTGCTTAGCAGACAACTGTCAGATACATTTTTATCCACAGTACTTTGTTGATAAGCCATGTTGGTGTTGGTGAATGCCTGCTGAGCATAGTAACTCATTGCATGGCTGATCAGGGGCCACAGGCAACTTTATTGTTCACTATCAGATGTATCCTGTTGGAATATGTATGGAAGGGAACTTAAAATCCATATTAGTAAAGATATCTTCAGTGCTAGCATCATTGTTAGAGTTTAGATATGTTCTTTCAGAGTGTTGGTGGAGCTCTGTCACACTGTCCTCTGCTGCATCTAACCCAAGGACATTTGCACAGTTGCCACTTGAGACACAGAATGACATGATTTCTAGACTCAAACTTCAGCTCACCAGTCTTTAAAGCAGTTGTGATTAACAGGACTTTTGCAAAGTTTCTATGTAGTTACAAGGACAATTTCAATCTTCTGTCATTTTTTTGCATTAGCTATGATTATGCTTTTACCACAAAAATGCATTTGTTTTAAAGGTAACAATACAGACTGGGAGAATAGCTTATGTTTCATCTATATTTATCAGCATTCACTGTACATTTGTGTCTTCATTACCAGGAAATATTAAGGGACATTGTGCCATCTATTCCTGTTTACAGTTTATTATGCAGAGATAGGAAACACTTAGCATGTAAAATGAATGTAGAAATTATTCCTGGATAGAAACACGGACATTTCCCACTCGTTGGCTCTTTCTCCTCCATCACCGGATCAGAGTGTAATTGTCAGTAATCAGGCCTGCTTGCTGCTGATAAAACCACTCTGAATGCTAGCAGCCTTCTTTGTGTGATGACTCAATTATTCCAGAAGTGCCTCATCAAATCTGCCCCATCAGCTGGGCTAATAAATAAGGAGAAGAAACTGGCCCCCCAAAGCAAATTATAAATCCATTTGCATTAACCATTTCTCTGGTCCATGATCTAGGCAGAAATAAGCATGGCAGATTGTGTTAAGCTTATTTGAATATGTTTATAATGTTTACAGCATGCAACTTTTTTTCCCACAAGGTGTTGGAATTATCAGTCATGAATGGCATCTAAATGCAGTTATGTTAATTACCACATGGCTTTAAGTATCTTTGAGGGCTATTTTGTTACTTAAATCAGGTAAAAGTTAAATCATCTTAAGGGAGAAAAAGAAGTCTTATATAAAGTGTTGGAATTGCTTCAGACTTTATGGAGAAGATACTGTGATATTTTTAAGCGATTGGAAGGACAAATATCAATACTAGAATGCGTACTTGTGTAAATGTAATTGTTTTGCCTGTGTGACAGTGGAAGTCACAGTTATTTCAGTCCTCTCCATTACTTCAGCCTCTAAGCAAAAATGACCTATTCCGAAAGCAAATCAGAGTTGCTGTAGAATTCCTTGCACTTAAGATTTTTGAAATATTCTGTAGGACAAGATTCAAAGGCTGAACAAATCACTTGAATGTCAACTAAATCCTTTGATGGTCATTAATACATTGGTTGATAAGTTTTACTTTATTCTTTAAAAATGAGTAATTGTATTGAAGTTTGGTTTATAATTGAGCTTTAGTGATAAGTCGGGGAAGCATAAAGTATTAAAAGTTGATGAGGAAAGGCAATTTGATACATAGTACAAAATAATTCACCTGATTGAATATCCAATAATTACAATTGGAAACATCCTTCAGAAACCTAAATGATCCTACTTTCTCACTTTGCAGTAGGACCTGTTTTTCCTGCTGAATAAGCCAAGCTTACAGAATCTCCTTGTCCTGCTCCCACTGGGATCATACATCTGACTGTAGTCTGGTTGTGACAAAAAAAAAAAAAAAAAAAAAAAAAAAAAAAAAAAAAGAAAAGAAAAAAAGCTTATGAACAAGAAGTGCTTGTATTTGCCTAAAGAACTTAAATAAAAGTCATACTTGCATCCATTTATTCCAGAAAACGAAGCATATTCTCTACTACCAACCTGGAGAGCTCAGCAGAAGAAATATATTTTTAACAACAAAAATATTACAAGGCAACAACATACTCACAAAATTTAATGCATCATTTCCTAATAGAGAATTTCATGCTTTAATGGACAAAAGCTACTCTAAGACTCCTTGACTAGAACTTCCAAAAAAAAAAAATCTAAACCAAACAAACAAATGAGACATGAACAGAAATAAATCTCAAAAGGAATTATCAGAAGTAAAATGACAAATGGAAACTGAAGAATTCCATTGTGCTTGCTGTTAGCCAATATATATATGTATATAGTTATGATAGTATGAGACACTAAACATGTATTTATATGTACATGATATAGTAGAGAATTATTTACAAAATTTGGCTATAACTTAAATCATTATATAAAATAAGTCTTAAAGTTTAGAACCGCAAAGAACTTGTATTATAATTCCCAAGAATGTACAAGTTAAAGTTCATCACTTTTTTCATTCCAGAAGGTGAATAATCTGTGAAGCTGTTAAAGGTTAAACAGTGGGTGAGAGAGTAAAACTGTTAGAAGTTATAGAAGCAGGACCTCAAGAAGTAGTGACACACAAGAAAATATTCTGGTATTGTTATGTGGACTTGCTAAGGAAATAAATTCAAGTGGTCTTTGGAGACTATTTGAACTTTGCAGGCCTCTGAGAGGACTGTTGGTTTTGCCCTTCTTGACTAGACCAAGCAGAATGGTTTCACTGGTGGGCAAACCCTACAAGAATATTGGCAGTATTGATGAGCTTCTGTTAATTACATGGCACCGATGGTGGTAGTGAGATCATGTTCGAACACATTGATTAGGTAGTGATATCATGATAGTTAGAACACATTGATGATGTTCTTGAGGTCATGATAGCACATATTGATGATGGTGGTGAGATCATGTGAGAACATGTTGATGATGGTGGTGAGGTCATGTTAAAACAAATTGAAGGTGATAGATCATGTTAGAACACATTGATGATGGTGGTAATATCTTGATAGAACACATTGATGATGGTGTTGAGATCATGATAAAAACACATTGAGGGTGGAGATGAGATCATGTTAAAACACATTGAGGGTGGTGGTGAGATTATGTGACTTAGAACACATAGATGGCGGTGGTGAGGTCATGATAGTTAGAATACATTCATGGTGGTAGTAAATTAATGTTAGACCACGGTGATGGTGATGGTGACATCATGTTTGTTATATCAGATTGGCAAATAGTGGTGAGTTCATGTTACAAGTTGTGCATGGTACACACATTGAATGACAAATTCATTTGCTCCTTCACCAAACTTTTCACCTTACATTTAGTTTTGGAAGATTTAATAAATATTCCATTGGAACTATAAATAAACCTACAGTTCTTGGCCTGGGGGGGGTCACAGATGATATATTGATCAATTCACTTTGTACATTCCTCTAAAAGAACAAAGCACAGTCTCAAATGTTGCAGGATCCTTTTCTTTGAAATAATATATCAGATTTGTCATATTGCATCATAGATTTGAGCAGAACTGTCTTTTCAAAAGCAGGTACTCATCCGTGAAGCAGTGTTAAGGACTGACATCTATTTTCAGAAAGACAGCAAATGGAGTACTTGATGTTGACTCCACAGAGCTAAGACATCTGAGCACCTGAGTCATTAATTAAAAAGATATCCTGTAGCCCATTGCCTGCCATACCTTGGTTGCCATGTAGTTTCACCTTTTGGGGTTGCTGTTTCAGGAACGTAGGGGCTTCTGTGAAAGTAAGTGGTGCTTGGTGAAGCATCCAGGCCTGAGGGTGACTGTCTTAACAGTGTATATTCCCCATGGGCTATTATGCATTTAAGTTGGGAAAAGGTGATTTTTTTTTTCTCTTAAAGAACATGCAAAACAGCTAAAGAATGGCAAATAATAATTGTTAAAACAAAAAAGTGGCATTTAATAAAAATGGGGTTTTAAAGGTATCTTCTTGTCATAGTGCCTATGTGGGAAGAGACGAACCCAGATTGCAGTGGGAGGCTCCTGTTTGATTATGATGGACATCCCAAGAGGAGCTGGGAGGAACTGTAGTGACCAGCTCAGGGGTGGCACCCTGAGAGGCCCTGCTTCCCATTTGTGTCTCACTGCCCCCACACCCTGGGCCTTTGCATGTCAGATCATATTCCTAAACTTATCTTTCTCAGCACCCTCTGCACACTTCTCAGGCAGATCTCAGCTGTGCTACCTCCATTCTAGTCTCCAGGGAGGGAAGCCACAGCAGATGGGGTTAGGGCAGAGGGCTGACGCATCTGACAGCAAACGGCTATGCCGCTGAGTCGAAGCTGTGAGCATCAGGAAGCTCCTTCTCCCAGGAGACCCAACTAACCACTGAAGAAAGTTGAAAATGAGCCCTTTGAGAAACGCTATTAAAAGTAGTAAAAAATTGCAATTGTGCAGATGACGTGCTGCTGTGTGCTTATTCGGATGCTAATGAGTTTGACATTAGGGAACTCAGAGGCTTTACAGCTACTCCCTTATGTGATTCAGTTCTTTATTGGCAATCTTTGAGAAAATAAATGGAAAATGTATTGCTAATAAATACATAACACGATAGGGCATTAGACAGAAAGCCATTACTTTCAGGATTTAGAAAGAGCTTTGTTCACCAGTATGACTGCTTCCAGGGTCTTTTGTTTTAGGTTGGTGTGTGGCAAACAAAGGGAACTAGGCAGGTGGAAAGCTCCAGAACTCTTGCTGAACCAAGAGTGCAGCAGAATGAGCCAAAAGCATTTTTTTATTTGGTAAGTTGTGATCAAATAGAAAGTAAGACTTCCCAAGCTGCAGCGCTCCCTTTCCATTCTCCTACGTGGGCAATAGTCTGCCCTGTGTGAGAATTTGCTGCCTGCTTCTGCACAGCCACAGTTGTGACTTGAGTTGCAAAAGCATGATTGGTGTCAGGTCAAAGCCTGCAAGGAGGCAGCTGTGACTCAGAGGCCACTGCTTCAGTACACATGAGAGGTGAAAAGCCAGCCTTAGAAGTCCCCTGTAAGGAAGGTTGGGAGCTTGTGTCTCAGAACTGCTAGAAGTAAACATGTAACCATGGACATGTGCCCGTGATGTTAGTACAGCAGGGCCCTCTCTAGGATGCTGAGTGCATTACATTGGCTTCCAGTGTTGTTTTGTTTGTGGTTTCTGTTTGTTTGTTTGGTTGGTTTTTGGTTTGTTTTCCCCCATCCTGAAACCAAATAGAGGGGATGCAGCATTGTGCGTGGTGACTTGATGGTAAAATAAACCAAAAGCAAATTACTTCCTTGAAAAGCAAGTTCCAACACTGGCCATGGGATTAATTGCATCTTCTGCTGGCCTCTTTCAGAACAGATCTAAGTAACACAGGCTTCGTTGTGTCTTTTGCAACATCATCACTAGAGCTCGTTGCAAATAGTTCCCTAACTTTTTCTTTCTGATGTTTAAGATGGATGATGATGATGATGATGATGATAGTAATAATAGGAATGGGGATAGAGCTCTGGTAAAATGCTTGTCTGTCATGCATAAGCTCCTCGCTTCAACCCTTAATGCCATAAGAAGAATTAGAATTATTAGTAATAATATTTGTAGTATAACAGTTTCATTGTAATGTGACCAACCAAATTATAGGCAAAAGGTGCCAATGTGCCCTCTGTTGTTCACGAAAGTTCATTTAAATAAGTGTTTTTCTTGTCCAGTCTGATATGCTTTCTTTCTTTTACTTTTTCTCTCACTAGGATGAATTTCAAGATTTTCCAGTAAATTGAACCAAAATATTGGCAGACAGGTTACCTGAAGAAAGGATGGTATGAGCTCAATTTTATTATTAAACAATAGAATATATTGAAAGAAAAGCAACTTGATTAAAGAATTTGTATAAAGGCTCTCCTGTCAGTGGTCACCTATGTGGATTTGTATTGAAATTCATTGTTGTCTTTGAGTTTGGAATTGGGACTGTTTTGAGTACAACAGTCAACTGTCTTAAATTGCTAAGCAACTGAGGTTATAAACCTTTGCGTATCTAGTTAATTGTGTCTGCCCTTACAGAAAGGTTCATGGCTAAAATAAATTTATGGATCTAGTGTGAGTTCATTTGTATTAAAAATTAGTTAGCTTAAAGGTACTTTACAAATATGATCTTAAAATATTCAGGATGACTTTGAGGGCTAGTTCCTACAAACACTGAAAAGTGAAGATTTGGTTTTCCTTGGGAAAAGGTCTATTTGAAACAATATGTCTTCTGAAGGAATTATTTTCTAAAATTTGCATATTTTGCAGCAGATAATTCTCAAAATATGAGCCAGGAAAAACGTGAAAGGCCTTTTATGTGTTGCTGCCTTAAGTTTTGTTTAAATAGGGCATACTTTTTAAATACCCAAAACTCCAAAAACATAAAACTGGCAATGCTCTTGCTCCTCCTCCCATGTCACAAAGCTGTGACTCTAAGAGAGGCCATGATGAAGCAACTAATAGAAATCTTTGGCATACATCTGTTACCTGTGGGAATAATAGAACTATTTGCTGCAGACATTTGGCAAAAGGATGCAAACATATGGCTTTGGTTTACATTCAGGATTGCCAGTTGTATAAAGTTTCTGGATAGACTCACAACAGTGGCAGCAACTCGAAGTCAGAAAGACAATGTAAATAAAGTCTCCACTATAGTGTTTTCCAAGCATGTCTCAGATCTAAACTATTTCCTCTTGCTGCTGCATTTCTCAGGGACCCTAGAAAATTCCATTTGGAATTTGAGTAACATGCTCAAGTATAGTCCTTGGATAGAGCTGTGGCCCAGAAAACTATTCTTAGTGTGAGTCTGCTACCTCCTTCAGGTTTTCTGTTTGTAGGGTTATTAAAAAGGACTAAGAGAGACAAGAGGAATCATAAATCTGAACTAGACATGCCATTGAACCTGTCAGCTTTCTATACAGAATCAAAAACCATACAGAAATAAGGCACATAGATATGGAGAAGTAGAATCAAGAATAGGGTGCCTTAAGCAAGTGAGAATTAGAAAAACATAAATGTGTCGCCATTGGTGGGAGCTTTAAGAAAGCATTTTGTTAAACTTTACATTAAGAAGGTTGACACTAAACATGCTTCTTTTCTTCCTGAACAATCGGAAAATACATGAAAAGGAGAAGGGTAATAGTAGAGAGAACAGAGAAATATTCTAGCCCAGTATTTCTCACCACAAGTCAGCATTCTCCTTTACACAGCTAATTTCTTCAAAATTCTCTATATTTAAAGTAGATGCCTAGCCCGCCACTTTGGACTGACCCACAGCTATGTTTAGAACAGGCCAGTATCACTAAAGGAAAGGACACTTAATATTGGGCTCTTTGTCCTCAAGCTGGACACATTTCATTCTGATAGACTAGTGTCATCTAGTCATTTCATTTACTTGACTTTCAGGCCTTTTCCAGTTTCTTAGATTTCCCTTCATTATTTTTCTAAATCTCACTTCTGATAAGGAGCTATCCTTTAGGGAAACACAGGATCTCAAGGTGAGGAATCCAAGGCCTCCCTGTACAGCCTCTGTGCATCTCCATTTTGCCATGAGTTTCTCAGGGTTGAAAGAACATACTATAGGCTGGGGCTATAGGTCATAACAAAGGCACCTGCCTAGCAAATGCAAGGCCCCAAGTTCAAACCGTACTACCACCATGATAGATAGATAGATAGATAGATAGATAGATAGATAGATAGATAGATCTCACAAGAATGATATAATATTACATAATGTAATAAAATAAAATATTGCCATTTCAAACATGCCAGGATAGAAACACAGTGAACTTTGGTTAAGAAGTAAAAAGAAATTAAAGCACAATTTGATTGATAAAAATTCTTTTTGTACAAATATGAGTATGTGAGTTCAATTCCCAATATCCATGTAAAAAGCCAGGGATAGTGGTGTGCACTCATAAACCCAGGACGGGACAGATGAAAACAGGAGGGCTCCTGGAACTCATTAGTCTTCCAGTCTGTGTGTATCTGGGAGCCCCAGATCACTGTCTCAAAAAATTAGATGGATCCCTCCCGAGGAATGACTCTGAAGGTTGACTTTGGACTCACATGCACGCCCATCCACACACCCAGCTACACTCTCCACGTGCCAGAACTTCTCCCCCACAAACAAAGCACACAAATAAAAATGACAACTTTAAAAGAAGGGAAATGATTGAACACATTAGAAGGATTCCTCAAATTAAAAGTCACCATTTGAAGTCGATATCAATACAATGTTAACTGTGTACGAGTTTTCAGAAATTACCCTAAAACAGAATTATTATATTGACCTTCCTGTGCGTTGCGAACCTGCCCTTCCCCTAAGAACAAGACACTATGAATCTGCCTTACCATTACTGCATAGATCTTTGTTGAGGATAAAACAAAATACAAGTGAGGTTGAGTTGTGTTTGTCTCTCAGAAGACACTCTGGGACTTTCTTTCATCCCCAAAGTTGGTTTCAGATGTTTGCACTGGAGTGTTGAGGTAGAAATATGGTTTTTACCTTTGATATAATAAGCTCCAGTTAGAAGAGATAGATGGTCAGGTACAGTAACTAGGAAATTGTTCATACATCTCTGTATAGATCTGTAATCTCTCAATAGTCACCTAAATAGCTTTCCTTCTGTGGTTATTTTTATTCTGAATTGTATATCAGTTAATTCTACTTCGTTTTTATCCTTTATGAAATGTTTATTGACTTTATTTTATTAATGTTTTTTCCACTTTCAGATTGTTGTTATATTTATTTGACTACCCAGATTACACCAGTAAGCCTTTTGCAAATAATTTCCCATGTTGCTTTATTATGTTAGACTTTTAACAAGAACTACCTTCTTCTTTTTGCTCTAATACTGTGCATACTACATGTGAACACATTACACTTAACTCTTCCTGGTTTGTTTGTTGAAACAATGTTTCACTGTGTATCCATGCCAACCTGGAACCTGCTATGTAAACCATACTAGCTGGCCTCAAACTCACTAGATCCCTGTCTCTGCCTCTCATGTACTGGAATTAAAGGTGTGTGCCATCATATCTAGCAAATTCATGTTAATATAGTTTCAGATTAAGAATAATACCTATGGTAAATTAGAATTCCTTGTAGGCATCTCAGACATATCTTCTATTTTTTCTGCATAAATAATAAAGTGGGATATACAAAAGCTGTATATAATCCACAGGACAGGTTTTCACAATAAATTTTGTGTTTTGAAAAAACTTTCATAAGTTTTACAATGTTAACTAAAATCGTTTCAATACCATTTGGTACCTGAACAAAAAGATAACCAAATATCACTTTTCAGTAAGGGGAAAACAGTCTCTAAGAACTATAATTTTCAAGATTGTATGACATATTATTTAGGCCATTTTTTCCTGACTATGTAGCAATCGAATGCCTCCTTTATAATCTAGGAACAAATGGATAGGATGGTAACCTCTTCCACCCCAAGTTTTCAGCCATGCACAGCAGAGTGGTCTCTGCGCCCTAAATGGTATGACTGGAGCAAGTCAACCACCTTACACCCTAGTAAGAGTTTTCACTCTAGGGAGACTACCTGTGTTCCTTTGCCGGGTTTCAAGAGCTCTGCAAATAATCCAAATGAAAAACATTTAAAAGTTCTAGACAGCAAAGACTAGGGGTGTGTTTGTGTGTGTGTGTGTGTGTGTGTGTGTGTGTGTGTGTGTGTGTGTGTGTCTGTCTGTCTGTCTGTGTGTGTGTTTCACGCTGTTTTATGCTGTTGAGCTCTGCCATGGTCCAGTAACATCTGACTTTGAATTAGGATGGGAGAAGAAGGCTATTTCACAGATGTTAGAACTCCCCACCAAAGGAAATGCTTATGTACTTTAAGTTTCTGATATTACTACTCCCCACATAACAGACCCTGAACTTACCACTGCTCTTGAGGGTGAAGGCGAGGACATTGAGATAGATAGCCTATAAATTATAGCCTTGTTCTGTTGCATGCCCATATCTGGCCCACAAGTTCAACTTCAAAACTTACTAACACTTATATAGGCTATATATGTTACACCAAAAAAAGAAAGAAGGAAGGGAGGGAGGGAGGGAGGGAGGGAGGGAGGGAGGGAGGGAGAGAGAAAGAAGAAAAATGTTGCTTAACAAAATAGATATTAGATGAGATTTTAAGACCAGTTAAGGAGTGTTGATGCATTTCCCCCAGTGGCAGTAGTGAAGAGATGGATGTGTAGGGTAGCTACAAGACCCAGAGCCAGGGCTGGCTCCTCAGAGTTCCTAGAAAAAAGACTGCATTTTAGTTTGTTTCTGAAACTTTTGTGTGTGTCTTCGAGAACTCTTGGCTGTCTGTGTTCTGGTTTTGGTAAAGAACTTCATGGAATTCAACTATCCCTCATGTTGGGGCATTTTTTTTTTTAGAGTGGCTAGGGAAGGTTAATAGTACCTGTGTTGCTGAATAATAGACTTGCATTATGTGCATGCTTGCCCATGAGAATAGCTTCCTCAGAAATATGTGATGCGTTTCATCATGGTAACCCTCACATGCTACTGATCTCTCTTAATCTAGTTATTTGTGTAGCACACAGAGCTACGTTTGCATGAGCTGAGCCACTTTATATGCAGCAGAGATCCTCTAGGGAGGAGGGGGATTTCACAATGCGGTACGTGCCGTCCTGAGTAAACCAAGCCCTTTTAATCCTAGGCATCTGTCATAAACTCATATGGTTTCATAAGAAAGAAAATCAACAGGAAAAAACCACCTCTGTTTTATTGTTGTTTTCTCTTATTGTGTACTTTTAAAATATTTATAACAATGAAACATTTTATTTAGACTAAAGCGGCTGCTGTTCAGCCAAAGCCGTGAACACTTTTTGTTTGCTAATTTAAAAAGCGGTTCAATGATTGGTTTATTATTATGAAGCAATGACAAAAGAGTTCTGGTGGGTTTAATAGTTTTAGCTTACAAGAGCTGTTGTTAATTTCATCTGTAGTGTTGCAGGTGAAAAAAATGCACAATGGATAAATAGTCTATATTGGTTTAACTGAACATAATATATAGTGTGTTCTGGAGTTGTTTGTCTCAATAGACTATAGTAATCAAAAGTAATGAACCTATTATGTGCAGGACCTTGGAGAGCGTCGAATGGCAGTAAAAGTGTGGCACATAAAAGGTTTATTAAAGGAAATTAAAGTCCATCATTGCCACACCTGCTCCCCTATTATAAGTCCATGGCAGGTCAGTGCCTTCAATCACAACCTAGACTCAGAGAGTGGAGCCTCACTCCCATTACCATGGCAGTCACATTGCCGCTGCTCACGGCAGGACTTGCGGATGGGAGCCACAGAGCATTTCTGCTGCCTGTCTCTTGTTTTCCACAAGCAAAATACCTTATTTCTATTTAAGAGTTCTAAAACCACGCAGAAGTGAATTAAACTAAGAGTTTATTAGTGGATTCTAGCAAAATGGATAGATATCCTGGGTCAGAGTACATGAAAACAGAAGGCTTTGTAAGCCCTTGAATCCCTTTGATCATTTATTTGACTACATTTAAAACAGCCAGTAACGACGGGAATTTCATAGTTCAATGCACCTCACTCAGATTTTACATTTCTTCTACATTTGAGTGATCTCAAGGCTGCAGTTTTTCTGGAATTCAGAAAGTAAATATAGTTCACTCTTGATAGTTATAACTCCCAATTGTATTTTGGAGGGGCACTACAAGGGTTTGCCTTTGGGTTGCATTTTTACATTGGCAATTGCTTTTCCTAACTTAGAAGCTGTATAATCGGAAAGCATCTAGAAGGCTGAAGGCATTTGAAATCAGTAAATCAATCTGGATCTTTGTCTTCATGTTTAGAGTTCTTCTCACTTCACAAGCACTGCTGATGACACAACCCTTTTTCAGCCTTTGGAATTCTGTAAGCATGCAAATCGTTAGCAAACACTTGTGGCCAAGACCATCTGCCCTCTTGCTGTCACCATCTCTGGTTTCCAACATCTGTAGACATGTCTCTAAAATCAGCGGTGCTCAATAATAGTCAGCCAGATCCCATAGAGCCAGAAGGAAATCCAGGAACATAGACGGCTATATGCTGCTCTCCACAATGACCTCCAGAATTTCTAATTACATGTTTTCACAGTCCTGTCAATGGCAAAGTAATGATCTCAGTACTTTGTGTTCATGTTACAGATGGATGCAGAAGTTGAAGACAAAACATTGCATACTTTCTCCAAAGGAACTGAAGGTGAGTTGGTGAGCAGCTTCCCTGACCCTGTACCTGCCACACTATACTTGTCCCTTGTGCGCAGTAAGAGTAAGTGAGGAATGCTTCACAAAAACCTTTGGGTAGCAAGAGTGATGCTCTCTAGTGACTGGAACAAAGAGAAAGGATTGGCAGCTTATTGCCGTAGCTGCTTTTTCTCTTTATGCTGTCTGGCTTAGTAGCCCCAGTCTCTACTTGGTTCAAGTGAAATGATAACATTTGTTTTTTGACTGTTCCTGCTGGGAGTTCCAGGCAGCTCCAGAAAGAAGTGTTTGGAAGGTTCAACTTGTTGGCTACCCCTCTTTTTTTGTAACCAACAGATGGTAGTGTAATATTGAAATATAAACAGGCCCTTGATGATCTAAACAGCTGGAAAACAGGATTGACTGGCGATTACACCCCTCAAGGAAAATAACTTTTATTATAATTAGCTATATTTTTGTGACCCTGAATTCTAAGTGGAAAACTAGTTTCACCGTGGCTTTGAAAACATTCAGGAGAGCCATCCTTCACATTCCACTCTAGTGTTCACACTGATGGAGAGAGCTGAGCACTGTAACCCTGCCTTTCTGGGAAGATTTGGGTTTTATAGTTGAGAGTGACTACTCAGATGCAATGCATTTGCCAGCTATATGTTTATATATGTAGTCAATATAGTCAATTCCTGTTTAACTAAAATCCAGAGCACCAATACCTTTCATTTAGTAAGGATGAAATTCTTAGTTAAAATGTGTACAGTTGTTGTCACTGGCCAGTGCATCACAAATGCAAAGTAACCCTGAATATAGTATGGATTTTATCTCCTGAAACAGAGCTTTTACTCTGTATTATTACTTAATTTTACTTTAAATGACTTTTAAAGTAATCGTATCCTGTATCTTTAAATTTTACATAATGTGTTTCTAGGGCTTTCGATTTTTATGCAGCAAAGTTCTCAATAGGATAAATGTTTATGAAAAATAGTCTACTTCATTAACTAGAATAAGCTCATGCTTGCTCTAAATAGCACAATTCTAGAGATTAGACTGTGTGTCCGTTATTCTGTTCTTTCAAAGCATGCCACTCTACCACACTTTCAAAATGTGGGTCTTTTAATTTGCAGTTATATTTGGTTTTTATTTTGGCAATGCACACACAGCCTTAAAATAGAGCCAACATGTTCTTTTAGAAGTGAACTACTGTTTCTTGTGGAGTGTGAGTAATTTTGAAAACCACCTGTTGTCTCCCTCCATATGCTGCTTACCCTTGTGTAGGCAGGTATTTACCAACATGGATTCCTCTAGTTCCCAGCATCACAGGCAGAGATTCAACACTCTTTGAATAAGTTCCTTATTTTGAAAGGCTGTTGATTCTAACAGTGTGAAAACTTGTTCCTGTCTCCCGTATGTAGGAACTGTTCGGGATCAACTTGAGGCACTTATTAATGAAGCTTGCAGTTTTCTCTGAAAACTTGCTTACTGACATGAAATAAATATGCACAGGGCCATGGTGTAGCACACAGGTAGATGCATGTATAGAATCTATGACCCAGAACCACAAAAATATATAACTAAAAGCAGTAGTCTTGGAAATCTTTTGAATAGTTTCTAATTAAAAATAAAATCAAGTGTTCCTTGTTCTGACTTTTTTCCAAGTACCTCTAACTACAGGTCATTGGAAAGTCTAAGCAACCAGGATCCAAGGACACTCAGTGTACCACATATAGAATGAATCTGTTTGGGGGCCTTGTTGCCTGCCCTCTTATTTCCAAAACAACCAGAGTGAAAAAGACACTCCTTCCATTCAGTGAGAAGCCAGGTGGTGTCTGTCCTAGCCAGTCACTAGTGTTATCTCTAGTTCGGGGGAATGTTTCAGTCATACAGTTTTAAGAATAAACTCAATTGAGACTCTCTTCTTTTCTTCTCTTTTCCTATCTTTCTTCCTTCCATTCTTTATTCCTTCCTGCCTTCTTTCTTTTCTTTTCTCTCTCACTTTTTTTTTTTTTTTTTGTGAACAGTACCAATGGATTCTCTGATCCAAGAACTCAGGTAAGATCTCCCCTTCATGACTCTTTCAAATATTGGTCGCTTTAGATTGGTGTAGAATGAATTGTCTTTCTCCAGGCTCCTTGCTTTAGAATGAGGACTAAGCAAAGAGTAACTTCACTTCAGCTCTTTCTAACCCTCGGGGAAGAAGAGAAGCAACAGCCGTGGTGATAATATTTTAACTAAATAATGTTTTGTCTATTAAAAACTTTTTGTGTGATGTCAGTAATTACCTGCCTTCCTTCACTGGCCACCTCTTTTCCATACACCTGTATACCATCTGTGGCTGGATTTTACACTGATCATCCATGAGCCTGATGAAACAATTGCCTAGACACTAAGTTATCCAATTTTTGTTTTAAATTGCAAATTCTTCCAATTTTTAACCTATACAGTAGAAAATAATGTGACACATTTTTGAGCAGGTCCTTCTATTTCTGTTTTAGGCATTGTACCTTGGACAGTGTTTGGAAAATGCCACCTTACTGGGTGATGTAGAACTTCACTGGGTTTCATTCACAGAATCATTATCAAAATATAAACTTTAAAAGTAAAGTACAAATAGGAAAGAAAGGACTTTGGGTGGGGCATAGCCTGAGTATACCTGCTGTGAGGAACACAGTAAGCTCTGAACTCAGAGTCCTGTATTCTCAGGACAATGCTTGACAAAGAAGGAGTGTGACAGTGTCTGACCTACTTGCACTGCAGAGGGGCAGACTAACAGGTTGCACAGCTTATTCCAGGCACTGCATGGTGACTCACTGAAACACAGGCTCTTAGTTACTTCTTCCTCTTTTTTATTATTGTTATTATTTAATTTTTTTCTTATTTTACTTATCAATCCCAGTTCCCTCTCCCATCCTCCCATGTCCCCCACCGACCCCTCCATCCCATTCCCTACCCACTCCCCAGGGATGTCAAGTCATTTGGGGTAGGGCCTAAGCCCTCCCCAACTGGTCTCTAGGTTAAGGGAGTTTCTCCATGGGGAATGGGCTTCCAAAGTCCTTTTATGCATCAGGGATACATCCTGGTTCCATTGTCAGAGGTCCCTTACATTGCCCAGTTCTCCTAACTGAGACCCATATTCAGGTCTAGGTCAGTCCTATACTGGATCCCAGCTATCAGTCTGGGGTCCTTGAGCTCCCCCTTGCTTAGGTCAGATGTTTGTGTGGGTTCCCCCAGCCTGGTCTTCCTCTTTTAAGGGATTGAATTTATCCCAGCATCAATTCATTTGCTTGTTTAGATTTCTGATGTGCTTCTTTATGAAAAATTGCTAGCAGGAAATCTATAGGTTTCCCTGGGTTAAAATTTTAAACTGGAGCAATAAAAGCAGAGTGCATGCACATATACCCAGACCAGATTACAGCATGGAACTGATCACATGTAAAGCAAGAAAGTGCCTGGTTCTTTTAAAATTCTTGTGTTAGGAGGCTGACCTTGAGATGATCAAGGGAGGAGAAAGCATGCGATGTTTGTGGTACCAACTTCTGGGACCACATGGATGGCTCACTTCTGGCAGTAACCACAATATTTTTAGGGAGCCAAGTCATTTACACAAAAGAAAGGGAACTTTTAAGTAATAGGTCTTAAAAATGGCTTTCAAATGACATTTGAAGGAATAATATGCGTGCACTGGCCTGGATGGGGGATGAACCTCAAATGAAGATGCAGCTGGGATTTAAGAAGGAAGCTAAGTGTGGGAAATGTGTTATGTAACTTTTGTGGAAAAAGTACTTTTCAGGTATACTATCAGCATTAATGACTATGTCAAAAATAATATTTGTTGAGATCTCATATACCAGCTACTGCTAATTACACCATTCAAATACTTCATTTACTCTTCCTAGTAACCCTGTAAGATACAAAATATTATGACTGCAGTGTTCAGAAAAATACATGAAAACCAATAGCTTATGCAGATACCCCTTGGGAACACAGCTAGTAAATCATCCAAACTCCTGGCCACAGGTCTCTTCCTGTTCTTGGCTGTGCTTTCTTGGCTGTGCTTTCTCTCACCTACAATCAATTCAGCAAAGGGTGGAAATCACAGAGGTACCATCACCTGGGACCTCCAGAGGCTAGATCTCAGAGTGCTGCAGTCAGCCTTGGACACAGTCTAATTCTGAACAAAGAATTCCTTATCTTTTAATTCTATAAAAAAGTATTCATATCAAATAATCCATTTTACCTAATCTGCTAATAATTCAGAAAGGAGATAACTGTGAATGGGGAATCCCCATTTTCAGACCTTCTAAATGAGAAGCAGCTCTAAAAAGAACTTCTTTAAATTTTGTAGATTTTATGCTCAGCACAATGACCATGCTTGGGCGTTCGTGATCCCAAGCTGTTTCTTACAGTTTAACTTGACCCAGATACAGACCCTACCTGCCATTTTACATTTATCTTATGGAGGAAAGTAAAATGTAGTGATTTATGTTAAAACGTGTATTGTTGGTGTTCTTTTAGTTTTTCTGTTTGGCTTCCTACACTCACTTCTAACTGGCTCCACAGGTTTTTCTGCAATTGAGCATCACAGCCATGTGTCTGAATTATTAAGTGTCTCTAAGAAATGTGTAGTGCTCTCCCCAGCCTAGAAGTTACGATTGTAGATAATTCTGGTAACTTCATATAGCTCTCTTTGAAATGAACTGGGTATGTTACTATTTTCAGAATGATTACTTACAAAAAGTACTAAAACAAATGAAGTTAATTTCAATATAGTGTATATTATTTATGGCACTAATAAAAATTGATACCAGCATTCTGTATGTCAGCTACTGTCATCACCATTTAAAAAAGCAATTTATAATGACAGATAATGACAGGCTCACCTGTAATCTTCAACCTTTTTTTTTTAGCATTTCTAGTTTTCCTCCAACACATTCATGTTACAGATAGTGTAGAGAAAGTTCTGCTGTCTTCCTCATTGCAACGCCTGCATTATTTCAGCTATCTTCTTACTACCATTTTCTGTAATCTGGACTTCATGCCATTGTATCTACTAATACAGCCAACTGGCTAATACATTGGCAGTCCGTCCCCCCCCCCCTTCCTCTAATTAGGATAACTTAATCATACCTCTGAAATGACTTCCTATGTGACTCCTTCGAGAAACAATACAAGGCCTTGTTGTCCTTCTGTGGCTTATTGTTCTTTTCCAATTTGTTGGCTTAAGTGTTAAAATGAAATGTCTAGTTTGATGTCTCATGTCTCATCTTACTTTATTTTCTCTAATATTTTGTTTTTAGTTTTAAATTGCTGAATATGATCTCTAATCAATAAGTTAAAAAGTTAATGATTTGAACATAAATGAAAACTTTTCTAACTTATAAAATTAGATGGTATCCTGTTTTGTTTTATTTTTTAATTTGCTTTATATAGTCTCTTTTAATATTTTATGCATTCAATTTTAAAAAATAAAGCTTCCATTGGTAGTCATGATTATATTAAAACTGCATAAATACTTCTAACAACTAGGTAACGACTAAAGGAAATATTAACAGAAATTTACTTACTTGATAGAAAAGTATCTTAATGTCTATCAGGGGAGCCTTTTACAGGAATGAAAGCAAAATGAAGTTTGCTGCTTAATAAGAACACTTAGTAAACTATTATAATACTGTCGTGTATTATTGAACTTACATAAAATCTCATGGTATTTAGTGCTGAGTGTTACTGAGTGTCCCCTGTATCAGTTCACGTTGAATTAGTTCTCGAAACAATATATACAATATCTAATTGGATCCACACAGTAAGCATGTAAAGTTGTCAGGACAAATGATGCTACCTGCATTTAGCTCTTGACTTAAGAACAGGGCCAGGGAATGCTTAAAGTGCAGTCTGTCTGAGTAGAGGGCTCCGAGGCTGAGCATAGATTCTGTGTGCATACCACCTCCTGTAGACAATTCGTACTGTTCATTGTGGATGCAGCCCTTGGTGTCCATCTATATTAACTTCAAATTTGTCAGTAAATTAATAAATCAGAGTGAAATATATCCTACCTTAAAAGCAAATTGCTGCACTTCTTTCTTCCTGGAATGTCAGTTGCAAAGAAAGCACCACTTTTTGCTTTTAACTTGGTTTCCATGTGTTGACTGTGACTGTAAGTCTATATGAAAATGTCAAGATATGACACAAATCTCTGTCTTCTCTATTTATTTCTTTCCTTACTGGTGAGCTATGAAGGGTCTTCAACTTCTATTTTGCATTGTGAGATTGGTGTTGGGCTAGCCATGAAATCCTAGTCGATCTGGTACCCTTAAGTCATATCCATGTCCTCCATTCAGCCATCCGTGTTTGTAAAGTATTCTTCAAGCCTGGGAGGGACTGATTCTCTACAGACATTATTCTCTTATTCATCCAGAGTCACACACCAGCTAATCACTTAGCATTTACAGTGTTAGGCATTGTGAGTCATCTAAACATGTTGTACACCATTCAGGAGGGTATGTACAGGACATATGGTATTGCTATGCCATTTTAGACAAGACTCTTGAGCATGGCATGTTTTGGTCTCTGAGGAGAGGTTGTGGAAATTATATCCCAAGGTCATTAAGGTATGTTTATGTGTGTATATAGTGATTGTGTTGATAGCCATGATATGTCCTATGTTATATTACATCTCTTACCAGGAAACACTAGGGAACTAAAGAGTAGATACTCATAAAAATTAAGAAATTCCAAAACAAATTGTGAACTAAAAATGTGTTATGCCTTCCTTCCATAATAAAACACTATCCCAGGAAATTGGTGATCTCTATCAACCCTATTGTTATATAGTTAGAGCCAATGTCACTAACATCTCTAGAAACCAGGACTGTTGCGAAATTCCACTACCATAGGCTGTCTTCAGTTGAACCGTGCAGATTCATTTGCAGTTTACTAGGATGTTTTTCAGAGCATGGTTAAATTTTTTGTTCCTAACCTAAGGAGAAACGTGATATTTATTTTCATAGTCCTTCTTCTGCACCCATGTGGTGTTTATATAATGGACTCATAACGGG